AGGCTGAGAAAAGTGGATGCTGTGACAGCCAATTCTTACATAACACTCGAGGTGTTCGGCCAGGACAGAACATGTTTCCATTCAAGACGTGACCACTCTGCTGAGCAGAGCGCATTTCGGCGTCTTCGCCAGCTGAGAGGTTTGCAGTTTCTCAAAGCCCCTCAGAAAGCCTACAGCATCTTCCGCATGCCTGTCTTAAAGTGTCCTCAGGAAGGCGAGGCAGAAGCTGAGCGCTAGGACCACTGATTCCCCCAAAGCAGTGACGGGCTGGGGCCAAGCTCTGACCTCCACTCTTAAAACAAAAATTATTTATTTGGCTGCGCTGAGTCTCAGTTGCCGCATGCGGGATCTAGTTCCCTGGCCAGGGATGGAACCGGGCCCCCTGCGTTGGGAGGATAGAGTCTTAGCTACTGCACCACCGGGAAGTCCACCTCTACCCTCACCAGCTTTCACATGAGCCTCTCTTTAACCTGGGGAGATGAGTACAGTAGCCGTCTTCTGAGATCTAAGCCATCTAATGGGGGAGAGGCCACAGGTTTGTGTGGTTTCCGAGTTAGAGAGAGGCAGGCTGGGCTCACAAGTTAGGAAGAGGTTATCCAGCCACCAGCGGCAGTGAGGTAGTGAGCCTCCTGCCACGGCAGGTGTGCAAGGCAGAGCTGACCCAACCTGCTAAGGAGACTGCTGTGGGTTCGGGGTGACCCCAAGATCTCCTCCCACTCAAACACTTTCTGGTGCCAATTCCTTCACCTGCACAGACGTTAGAAGTGTTTATTTACTCGACAAGCCAAATTCGTGGGGGCGGGGGGGTACACCAAGGAACAGCCTCTGCGCTGCCCCTACGGTCCCCTGTGGGCGCACACTGGGTCCAGGCGGGGACGCGGATGTTGGTGGAGGAGAGACAAGGGAGGGCGGGCTGTGGAAGAGCCCGTGGCCAGGGCGGGCGGCGGCAGCAGTGGCCAAGGGGAGCCTGTGAGGAGGGCCCCGCCCGGCAGCGGTGCTGGAGCCTGGGCCTGGCCTCCGCCAGCCGAGATGGGGCGCTGGCAGCTCTGCACGTGCTGGGAGTAGTTCACGAGGGCCTGGGGTGGTGGGAACACCCACAAGTACCCCTGTCCCAGAGCTTGGGCAGGCTCGGTGCCGACTCAGCGTCCCTGGCCTCCCTGCTGGCTGCACCCCGGTGACATTCAGGTCCAGCTCGTCCGGACAGGGCCCCCGGGAGGCCAGCACAGAGGCAGAGGGCGCCCGGCCAGGTCCTAGGAACCCTGGGAGGCAGCATGCGGGGTATCCGTGGGGACCACCTTGACCCCGCTCAGCTGAGAACGCCACGGCCGCAGCCTCGAGGAGCTCAGAAAATCCGTGTCTCCGGGCATCTGAGCAGGCTAGCTCACGGCCTGCACCCCACCTCCACCTGGCACCTGCCTGCGCCTCCAGGCCTCATCAGGTACTACCTCTCCAGGTGGGTCCCTCAGCCAGGCCAGAAGCTCCGGGCTGGGGATGGGCTCAGGGCTGCCTGGCTTCTCAGCGCCTGCGGCAGGGCGCCCCTTCCAGGAGGCTGTGGGAGTGTGGGGGTGGCACACACCCTCCGTACCTGGTTGACAGTGAGTGTTAGTTGCTCAGTCAGGTCTGACTCCTTGCAACTCCATAGACTAGAACCCCAGCTGCTATATCCATGGAATTCTCCAGGCAACAATATTGGGAGTGAGTAGCCGTTTCCTTCTCCAGGGGATCTTCCTGACCCAGGGAGGGAACCCGGGTCTCCTGCACTTCAGGCAGATTCTTTATCATCTGAGCCACCAGGGAAGCCCTTGGTCAAATACCTCTGTATTAGAACGGCGCCCTGATTGTGCCCTCGTTCTGGCCCTCACGGGGCATCAGAACTGGCTCTGGGCAGAGCTCACAGCCGCTGAGGGCAGGCGGCCTCGGGCGCCCTGCCACCTTGGCCGATGAGGATGCAGCCCCGAGTGCCGGGCGCCCAGCCCTCCCTGGCTGCCGCCCATGTGGTGTGAGCTCCACTGGACGGGAAGAGGCCCCCAAATTAATTAACACATTTGAGGCAAGACTGTCTTGGCTCCACAGACAGGCGCTGACACCCAGGGCGGGGCTGCTCCGCTGGGTTTTTCCTCTCCCCTCCCCTCTGAGCTGGGCCTCCCTGCCAACACGCTGTCGCCCACGTCACTCCACCCCAGGACCGCGGCGGGCTGTCGGCTGTGTCCTTCTCGCCAACTCCCCACTGCTCCATCGTCACCAGCCTGAGGGCCAAGCCATCCCGAGGCCCTGCCTGCCGCCTCCCTCCCAGCCAGCGTCCCCTCCTGGGGAGGCTTTCCCAAAGGCTGGGCCTGACACTGAAGCCCCCGAGGCCTGCTGTCGGACACACAGCCCATGCAGACAAGGCAGGTGGGGGAAGGCCAGTCAGGTGCCTCGGTGGCAGGCGCTGCGCCGGACTGCTCTGCTGAAGGGCAGGGCTCAGCGGGCAGTTAGGATCGGAACACCTGGGTTCCTGAGGAATGGTGGGGCCAGAACAGACCATCACAGCCTAGCGGGGTCTCAATTTCCTCATCTGCAAAGTGGGGCCAATAATCCGTATGACTATGGATTCTGGTCCAGCCCGTAACTTTACAAGAACCTTCCAGGAAGCCCTGGCGCTTCCATCAATATGCCTTTTCCCAAATTAGACCTCCTTCCTTGGAAAGTCTAGGCTCATGGCAACTTTTCTCCTTGGAGTATGACACCCACGGGCCACCCCGGGTCAGGAATGAAAGGGGCCTCTGGCAAAGAGACTGGCACCCATTAGCAGAGTGCCCGGTGGGGACGGCTGGAGGAGAAGTGATGCACAGGAGAGGATTTCTGAAGACACGTTTGCCGGAGCCAGACCGGGTGCGCTCAGATCCTTCCCCTTCCTAATTGCGGGCTGGGCAGCAGACCCTGCCCAGGGCAGGACGGCCCTGTTCAGGCTGGTCCGCCCCCCACAACGCCCCACGACAGCCCCCATTCCACACCCCGGCGCTTCTCCCAAAGTGCTGTGGGAACTCCATGCTCTGGGAAACATTTCTGGAAGAATTTAGAACCCAGACATTTTTCAACCAAACCTTTGAGAAATCCAGACCACTTCCAAAGCCGACTGACTTTGAAACCTGACACTTTAAATCCACTTTTCGAATTTGTGCCCCAAAGTTTTGAAACCAAAATATTCTGGAAACCTCCTGGAAGCAAGATACTCTGGGAGAAAACCAACTGAAATGGCAAAACTGTTTCATTTGGATTGTTTTTAAGCCCCCAGTTTCTGTAAAGGGCTTTGAAGTAAGAGTGGTTTTGTCAAAGCCAGAGTTTCCGCTAGAATTTCCCTGGGAAGAAGCTCAGATGCTTGGACTGAGCCCACAGAAGTGCTTGCTTGTTCCCTAAGGACACTCATCACGCTGCAAACAGGGGTGGTGTCCAGATATCGGGAGGAGTCTTGGATCCCTCACTTCACACACTTCTTTCTCAAACTCTCCACCCAGCAATCTGCTGCCTGATGCCGCTGCCCTCCAGCGACTGGGGTGGAAAAATCCATCCCTGAATCACGGCTCAGCCCGTGTCTCCGCCAGCCCGCAGCTCTTCCCTTCTGGTGTCCAGGGGGCTGTTCGGCCTCAGAGCTGGATGAAGGGACACAAAGTACCGGCGGCCAGTGACCGTGGGGCCCAGGTGGGCAAGGTGGGGACTGTGCACGGATGAGTGCTTTGAAATCCCATCTCCCCACCCTCCAATCTCTCGCTGGACTTCTCTTCACCGTTTTCACTTCTCCGACAGGCCCAGTGAACACCGCTGTGCCCTGGGTCTGGGGGGGTGCGCCTTCCAGTCCCTGCCGTCCCCACTGCCCCCGCTCCCGGTGAGGGGCGCTGCAGGGAGCACGGGGCCACACGGAGGCCGTGCTGGCGAGGGTGGAGGTGTGTGGGCTGGGGTTTGAACTTCACTCTTCCCCTGTTTTGGATGGGGCTGGAGCTGACCCTCCGTGTTCCCAGTCTGTAGATCCTCTTGCTCCGGGCACTGCTGCTGACCGTCGGGCCGGCACTGTGCCCCTGCCCCTCTGAGGGAGTTTTCTCCTTTCAGAGGCAGCGCCGCCCCACTCAAGCCCACACCTGGCTGAAGTGTGTGCAGTCCCCACCGCAGCAGGGGCGTTCTGAAGGCCCAGAGACCTAAGCTGTACTTCTCAGCTATACTCTCCAGGCACAGCACACGTGTTCACAGTCCTGCCAGCCTCCTACCAGGACTGCAAGCTCACACACTCAAAATCTTTCAAGTGCAGATGCAGGAAGACAGGCCGTGTTTGCCCATCACCGACAAAAGTCACCCAGCAGATCCTGGCCCGCAGGTGTGATGGTGCCATCACCACGAGCAGATGCCCTCCGGGTGGTGACCAGGACCGCCAGGTGGAATCACCTCCGGCAGGCCTGACGGGTGAAATCTGGTTCTCATCTAAAGCACTAAAGCAAAGGCAGGGACAAGTGCAAACCAGGGGTCTTCTTCATTAGCATCACCTCCGGATGATGCAAGACAAAATAATTCCCCAGAGAAAACACCCCAGCCTTCCTTTTTCACATGGATCACCTAATCAGGGAGCTTCCCCACTGCCTCAGTGGTAAAGAACCTGCCCGCCAAGCAGGAGGCCCGAGTTTGATACCTGGGTAGGGAAGATCCCATGGAGAAGGGAATGGCAACCCACTCCAGTGTTCCTGCCTGGAGAATTCTATGGACAGAGGAGCCTGGCGGTCCATGAGCTCACAGAGTCGGACACGACTGAGCGACTAAACAACAAAAGCGCTTCCACTTCTGGAGGATGTGCTGCCCTTGCACAAATACAGGAAGGCCGGATCTTAAGCTTAGGGTCCTCCTTTTTGCTGAAGACAACCAGGAACCCTCCCTTCCTGAAATCGAGGCCCTGAGGCCTAAGCGTGGGCCACAGCATTGCTCAGGGCCCCTCGTGAGCGTGTTGCCCCACCGGAAGAACCACAGTGCAGGCGGCAGGAGCAGGTATACCCTTTTACTCCACCACTTCCTTCTCCACTTTTCATATTAAATATCTGAAATATATTAATCTTAAAAAAACAATATTAACACAGTACTCAATGAATACAGGGAAGCAGTAAACAGTAAGTCTAGACTGCGAAACCATAGGTTATTTTACAAACTGGAGTGTGGGTGTGATCAGTTCCAGGTGTTTCCAGCGGGCTCGTCAACCGAGCACTGTGGAATTCACACCAGGAGAGAAACGAAGCCATAAAAAAATATACGTGGCAGGCCAGTGCTCCATCCTCTGGAAGATGGTCGCGGTACCACCGGCCCTTCCTTCAGGTTGAAAGGAACAACACAAGCACTTTTTTTTTTGGTGTTCGGATTTCCCCCAGCGCCTTCAGTCTCTAAGCAGATTTTCAGGTTTGGGGTAGCCGAAGAGAACAAAGTCTGCTTCGTAGAGTTTGTATAGCTGCTGCCTCCAGGCCAGGGGGATTTTGGCAAACCAGCCTTCCTCCCAGCTGCTGGCAGTCCTGTTGCGGTAACTCGGGGGGAACTGGAGCAGCCGGTCCACCTTGAGGAGCCGCAGCAGCTGGGCGGCGTCCTGGTCCAGCGTCTCCAGCTTGCCCACGAAGTCGTAGTCGATCTGGCAGGGGTGGCAGAGGCGGTGCACCTGCCTCCAGTGCTCGTTGAAGGGCGCCAGCTCCTCCGTGTGCGGGTCCAGCAGGTACTGGATGAAGTTGGCGAAGGATACCCTGAGCCCGGCGCTGAAGGCCTCGCTGACCGAGGCGGGCAGGCGGGTGTGGTTGGAGTACATCCTCAGCATGGGGACGGCGAATTTCTGGTAGAACTCCTCGTTCTCCAGCTCGAACTTGCTGCGGAAAGCCGAGATGAGGCGGACGAAGGGGTCGCGTACGAACAGGAACTTGGTGTACTTCTTCAGTTTAATCTTCATGAGGTGCCTGGAGAACTTCCCGTAGCGGCGCCAGAACTTGTTGAAGGTCAGGTGGGTGCTGGAGTTGTGGACGTACTCCCGCGGGATGTCCAGGGGGTCGCGGTAGGGCGTGCCCTGGTCCGAGAGGCTCTGGCTCAGGACGATCATCACGCGCTTCCAGTTGGTGCAGGCCACCTTGGGCACGTAGCAGTAGATGACCCCGTGGCGGTCGTCCACGATGAGATGGTTAAGCTCGTAGTTGGGGATGTCGTCGAAGGAGCGCTCCTTGGTGGGAAACACGAAGCTGGCGTTGGCACAGAACTCCCTCAGCACGCTCCTCCGCTCGGCCTGCCGCCCATCCGGGTCCGGACTCTGCTGGTCAGTGTGGCTGGACCAGTCGTAGCCCCTCACGCTCTCCTCCAGGTTGCCGAGCACAGGCTTGCTGGAGGCCGGCAGGGAGGGCTGCTCCACCCTTTTGCCCAAAAGGGGGCGCTGCTTCTCCCTGACAAAGCTCTCCCAAATCTCGAGGCTGGAGGTGAAGACATCCCCGGGCGCTGAATTGGGGCTGGGGAAGGGCTTCAGCACGTGCGGCCTGGAGAGGGATGTGTGCAGATTGAAGTGGGCAGGGCCCATATTGTCCCAGTACACAATGATCAGGAGGATCATGAACACGGACCCCAGGACCAGCCACAGGCGGAAGAGCCGGCTTTTGGTCATTGTGTCCATGGATGCAGGGGCCTTTCCCTGGACCCTTTCACTTCTGCTTCCAGTAGAGACAAGACGCTGTGCTCTGAGGAAGCTGGAAGACAACAGAGGCCAAGTGAACGATTAAGGTCCTCTCCCAGCCTGCAGCCCAGATAGGAGGGGTCTGCTTCTCCACCTCTTCACCCTCTGCGAGCTGAGTTTTGTGGGGGGCCTGGTGGGGGGTGTCAGCTTCCCCATGTGATGTGACCCCCTTGCCCCACTCCAAGCCCCTTCTGCTGCGGTCACATCATCCAAACGGACACATAAGCTGGGCCCTGTGAGAGGCAGACTGAGCGCGTGACCTGGGCAGGCTTCTGCCGGGGCTCAGCCTTCACCCCCACAGCACCGGCGGATGCTGGGACCACCGGGAGCGGGGCTGCTCAGGAGGGAAGCCAGGTGTGTGCTGCGGCTTCAGCTCTGTGGAGGGCTGTCACATGGCAGAGGGAGCAACTTCAGAAGAGGAAACCAGAAACTGAGTCAAGCCCAAGGACGGAGTACCCTAACAACCATACGTGGGCCCAGACCCAGAGCGGGCGGCTTTCTAAGCTGTCCAGGACTTCTCTCACTGCGGACACCGGGCACAGAGGGACGGAGCTCATCCTGGGAAGTCCAAAGGAGAGTCCCGTGCTGAGCACACTCTGGGACAACTCCCAGTGTGCACCTCTGAGTCTACATTTCTAGTAGACTACGCACCTGGTATCCAACACATTTTCCTTAGGCAGAAATTTGAGGACAATCTATTCAGCTATGCAGCTTTTGTTTACCCTTAGTTCACTTTTTAAATGGAAAAGTGATACATGCTCACGGTAAAGACATCAGCAGACTGTGGGGCTGGAGAAGACTCCCAAGTGTCCCTTGGACAGCAAGGAGATCCAACCAGTCCATCCTAAAGGAGATCAACCCTGAATATTCCTCAGAAGAGCTGATGCTGAAGCTAAAGCTCCAATACTTTGGCCACCTGATGGGAAGAACTGACGCACTGGAAAAGATCTTGATGCTGGGAAAGGCTGAGGGCAGGAAGAGAAGGGGGTGACGCAGGATGAGATGGCTGGATGGCATCACCGACTCAGTGGACGTGAATTTGAGCGAACTCTGGGAGACAGTGAAGGACAGGGAAGCCTGGCGTGCTGCAGCCCATGGGGTTGCGAGGAGCTGGACACAACTTGGCGACCGAGCAGCAACATGTAACTACTGCCCATCACACAGGTGACGGGCGTAGCACAAACGCCGTGAGGCGGGGCTGCAGGCGGGACGCCGCGCATGTCCCGCACAGCTGCCGCTGGGACTGCAGCCGGCTCCCGTCAAGTGGGCGTGAGTGAGACAAGAAGCAGCGCTGCAACAGCCTTCAGTACCCCTTCAGTGGTGATGGTTATAATCACACACTTCTACAGCCTATTTTTAAAACTAGATCATAAGTACCCATGTCACTGAAGTTTTCAAGACCATCCCTTCTCAAGGATGTGCCAGGATGAACAGTTTATAAAGATGAAGATGAAACCATATTTTAAAAAAAATGTTTGCTACAGGCTGAGAAAGCAGCAAACAGAAAAAGTAACTTAAGATGTCAGGTGATTTAAGAGACCAGTTTTCACTTTTAATATTAAGACCAACAAACAGAATAGAGGTAATGCTGAGCCACAGGCACATCTTGTGGATACAGGCACAGATCAGCCGCATGTTTATAATGCAAAGAACCACCTGGCCTGATGACCTAAATGCTTTACTTTTCAACCAAGAAGCAGTATATGCACATTAATAAATGCCAGTGTCTAAACTCTGACTCTCTTTACTAATAATTGCAAGGAAAAGACACAATCATAGTCACAGAAAAGACAAATACTGTATTTGCACTTACATGAGGTTCCTAAAGGACTCAGATTCATAGAGACAGAAAGTAGAAGAGCCAGGGCCAGGGCAGGGCCGGGGGTGGCGAGTCAGTGTTCAGTGGGCACAGAGTCTGAGTCTTGGATGATGAAGTCAGTTCTCACAACGGATGGTGGTGATGGCTGCACAAGAACATGAATGTGCTTAACGTCACCGAGCTGTGCACTTAAACATGGCCGAGGTGGTAAGTTTCATGTTATGTGTATTTTACCACAAAGAAAACATTGGAGGAAGAAAAATGAGTTAGAGCTGTAAGAGTCGACTTGTGGAGGAATTTCCAGGAGGGAATGCTGCATGAATAAGGCACATGTGGGACAGTGGGTAGAACTAAAGCGAGGCCTAAATGAGCAGTGACTGTCAGAGGCTGGCCTCGGAGCCTGCTGTTGGAGCCACAGGTTACGTGTACAGTGCAGAAGCTCCACAGGTGACTCTACCTGCAACCTGTTGATTAAGCAAACACTCAAGTTTTAGAAATTTATAATTGGGGTTATTGCACAAAAACAGGACAGGTCTTCCCCTTGGGACAGCAGAATCTGCGCCTGGTTGCTCACTGGGGAGACTGGTCCAGGAGCCTTGTCTCGCCCCGGAGTCCTGCCACGTCACAGCCCCTTGCAGCCCTTCTACACCACAGGGCTGTGTGCCTATCCACCAAGTGAGGCAGTGCTGACCCATGAGGCTGAGGCCACGGTTCATTTTTAACATCACGGAACAGGGCAGTCCTTTGTGTTGTCACCGCTAACCTCAAACAAGCCACAGAAGCAGCAGTGGTGGGAACCCGCCGGGCTGCGCCCACTAAATGGCCTGTGAGAGAAGGGCCGCGGCCGCCTGAAGGCCTGCGCGGAGACAAGCACACAGCCTCCTGGAGCTGCGACGAGAGGGCGGAGAGGCAAACTGGGTCAAGACTGTCACACAGCACTGCCAGCAACAAGCTTTACTTTTCAAAAGGGAGCAGGACACCTGGGAACTCCTGGCCCAGCGGCCTGGGCAGCTCAAGCCGGATAATCCAGGTAACAAGTCCCCATCCTCTGGGGGAGAGAGCAGAATGACGGGGAAAGCCAGGCTGAGAACCCATGTGCACGCTCAGTCACTTCAGTCGTGTCCGACTCTGGGCGACCCTGTGGACTGCAGTCTGCCAGGCTCCTCTGTCCATGGGACTCTCCCGGCAAGAATACTGGAATGGGCTGCCATGCCCTCCTCCAGGGGATCTTCCTGATCCGCACCCCCTGCATCTCCTGCATTGCAGGAGGATTTGCTGAGCCCCTGGGGAAGCCCGCTGAGAACCAGGGACTGCTTCAAACACATGTCAGGGAACAACAGTGACCACATAAAGTAATTTCTCATTCATAAAATAAGGGCATTATTTCTGAACATAAACCTCCCAGTATTTCAAAAAGCAGTCAACAAAAAGCCCCACCAGTTTTGAAGCAGAGCAAGAAGAGCTTTCACAGAGGAGAGGCTCCACGTCGGTCTCCAGCTTCTGCCTCCAGCAACAGGACCAACAGCAAACTTGAGCTGGAAGTCCCATCCCTGGAGGGCCCGTTTTCTACTAAAGCAGAACACTGTGGCGAGGTAGAGAGTTTCTGGGCCCAAGGGGGGGCTGTTAAACATTTCTGCTCACACAGGGCAGGGTGTGATGCCACAGCAGACGTGGCCACCCCTGGAGGCAAGCACCCCAAGCAAGCTGGCTGCCCACCTATGGCTGCTGGTCTGAAGGAGCCGTTGTGCCAATGACAGAAGGAGTCCGGGAAGATGGGGCGGTCCATGGCCAGAGCTGAGGGCCGACCTCCCTCACACGCAGGAGCGTGTCACCCCAAAACCTCTGAAAGCGAGGGCCACGTGGCCAGACCCACATTCAGACACATGTAAGGGCGTTTCCCACAATCCAATGGCAGAACAATACAGGAAGGTCCAGCGGGTGTGCTCACTTCACACGTCAACTCGACTGAGCTATGGCTGCACAGGGAGTTGGTCCACACGCTGGCGTGTCTGTGAGGGTGATTCTGCATGAGATTCACGTTTGAATCAGTAGGCTGAGTGAGGCAGATGCCCTCCCCAGCGTACGTTAGCCTCACCCACTTTGGTGAAAGCCTGAATAAAACAAAAAGGCAAGGGAAGAGAGAACTCCCTCTCTCCACCTGACTGTCTTTGAGCTGGAGCATTGGTTTCCTGCCTTCAGACTGGGACAAATGCGGGAACCCTCACCACTGGCGTTCCTGGCTCTCAGGTCTTCAGACTCAGACTGGAACACACCAGCGGCTCCCTGGGTCTGAACTCCTCAGCCTCCATACCCTGGGAGCCAATTCCTTGTGATAAATACACAGGCAGACACACACACACCCTTACTGGGGTTCTGTTTCTCTGGAGAGCCCTCACTGATATATGAATATTTATTTTGTCATTTGGACTGGGGTTTGTGGGCCTGTGTGTGTTTGTGTATTTACTACATATTATAGACACAAATGATCAAACCAGTGAGAATTAAACAGTGAGTGGTAATAAACGGAAATTAATGGATCTGGTGTTGTGGAAAGGAATGTTAAATGCAGAGGATTTCAGCCAGTGTAGAATATCCAATACAAGTATTCCAGAGGGAGACGCTGAGATTGTTTTCTCCCCCTATAGATATCTTGCTGTTCCAGCACCTGATTTGTTTAAAAGACTGTTCTTTCCTGGTTAAATCACATTAGCACCTCTGCTTTTTTTTCCCTAAGTGAAGATTACTGAGGTATGATTTATACACAGTAAAATGCACTCTTTTAAACTGCACAGTCTGATGAGTCCGGGCAAATGAACAGTGTTAAAGACACAGAACATTCCCATCATCCCCCAAAGTTCCTGCACCCTCCCCAACACCCAGCTCCAGGCAGTTGAACCTGTTGTCTTCCCTGCGGTCCGGCCTCTTCTTAGATGTCACGGAAGTGGGACCACACAGGAAGCAGGTGCTTGTATTTGGTTTCCTTCACTGAACAAGATGCTTCTCAGACTTCTCTAAGATGCGGCTTGTGTCATGGCTGAACAGTACCTGCTATATGGATAAACCACTACCTGTTTATCCATTTAACAACTGACGGACTTTGGAGTTAGTTCTCTATTTTGGTTATTATGAAAAAAATTGATACCAACTTTTTTTGCATACAGACCAGTTTTTTTTTTATGCTGAAACATTAAAAAAAGTAAAAAAGATTGTATTTAAAAATATCAAGCTGATTTTTCACTTCCTGGAAGGTTCTATAAGATCCATAACAGCAGATGTTTTAGAATTAAGCTTAGGGATTCTATTTAAAGATGAATCAAACTGACCATCAAAATATGATATATGAATCTTAGATTATCATTTTTCAATTATAAAATTTTACAGGCTCAAGTGATTACAGCAAGTTTGTGGGACACAAGGTTAATATACAAAAGTTAACCATTTTCCTATATATCAGCAATGAACAAGTGGAATTTGAAATTGAAAACTCAATCCCATTTATTAGCACCTTCCCAAAATAAAATACTTAGGTTTAAATTTAATATGTACAAGGTCTCTATGAGGAAAACTGAAAAATTCTGATGAATGAAATCATCCGAAGAACTAAATAAATGAAGAGATATTCTATGTGCAAATTGCTAAGGATAAGAAGACTCAATATTGTCAAGATGTCAGTTCTTCCCAGCTCCATCTACAGATTAATCCCAACCAAAATCCCAGCAAGTTCTTTGTGGACATCAACAGACTCTTCCTACAGTTTGTAGGTGGAGGCAAAAGACCCAGAGTAGCCAACACAATACTGAAGGAGAAGAATAAAGCTGGAAGATTGATGCTATGAGACTTCAAGATTTACCACCAAGCTACAGATTGGCAAAGAATAGAGAAATAGATCAGTGGAACAGCACAGAGAGCCAGAAGCAGACCCCCATATAGCTAACTTACTTTTAACAAAGGAGCAAAGGCAATACAGTGGAACAAGACAGTCTGCAACAAATGGTGCTGGAACAACTGGACATCCACATGTTAAAAAAAAAAAAAAAAAGAAATCTAGACATAGACTTTACACCCCTCACAAAAATTAACTCAAAATGGATAACAGACCTAAATGTAAAATGCAAAACTATTAAAGCTCCTAGAAGAAAACCTAAACGACCTTGCATATGGTGATATCTTTTTAGATATAACACCAAAGACACTATCCATTAATGAAATTACTGTCCACACAAAGATCTGTACAAGAATGTTCATTGTGACTTTATTAAAAATCACTACAAATTGAAAACAACCCGGAGCTCCACCAACAAGTGAAAGAACCAGCAAACCGTGTGCTCATGCAGGAGAAGACTGTTCAAAGACAATGAAGAACGCTGACTCACACACCAGCACACGCAACCACAGACGGGTCCTGCAGATACTGCACTGAGCAAAAGGGCCCAGACACAAAGAGTACATGCCGCGTGATCTCACTGATCAAGTTTATAAAAGGCAGAGTTAGTAACAGAAATCATCAACTGCCAAGGGACAGGGGGAAATGTGGGCGAGGGGAGTTTTCTATTCCATTGTCTGTAAGGGTGGTTACACAGGTGGGTATATCTGTCATGGACGTTTACACGTAAAATGCACGCATTTTATTGCACGTAAATTATACCTTGATGCTTTTGACTGCAAGGGGGAAAAATGTGAGCGGTCTTATTAATTCAATCTCCAAGAGTTAAAACTTTTCAGCGTAAACTCTATGCAACTAACCAGCTGTCACTTACTTCTACCATACAGGATAAAAACACCAGCACTGAAGTCCTACCCACACATTTAGAGATTGGGAAGAAAAGGACAAGAATTCTGAGGCCCAGTCCAGTCTCTGCTGTGCGGCCTAGGATATTTCTTTAAGTCTGAGTTTTACTTCTTTACCTATAAAACAAGAATAATCAAGGTCTTTCCGCTACTCAGAGCTACTGAGAGGATGAAAATGAGAAAATAAAAAATAAATAAATAAATAAAAATTAAAAAAAATGAGAAAATATCAGCTAAATGTTTTGTAAAACAGTAAAGCATGTTCTTTAGACTATACCACTGGCCCTACTTATTTTTCTGTTTCATCTGGCTCTCAAATATAACATTATTTTTATTATTAGTCATGCTATCTATCAATATCCAGTTACTAGCAGAGAAGAATGTATGATTTTAATTAACTTTATAATAAAAACAACAGTAGCTAATATGCTTTCCAAAGTGCTGATATAAGGTCTGCATATCTGAAGTTATTTAATCCTCACTGTAATTTTGATAGAGTTAGGGCAAAATAGCCAGGCAAGCTGCCCAACTGTGAACAGCTACCACTGCTCAAAGCTGGCATTTGACAACTGATTTTAGGGCCTACATTCCCAACTACTACATTCTACCAGCCTCTCAGGAAATACTTAATGTGGAATTAGTTGGTTTTTCTATGCACTCAAATTTTTATCACCTTTATTTCTGAGAGAATTCGCTTCTCCTTGTCCAAATAACCAACTTCTGAGCCTTAAATCAAATGACATGACCTTCATTAAGAAGTCCAAGAATGTTTCAAATTTTATTTATTTCTGCTACTAGCAAAGAGACCAGAAACTATCTACTTCTTATCCAGCTTTGCAAACACTATATATAAGGCAAATAATTCGCCGTGGTTCTCATCACTGCAGTCAACAGAAATCTGGAAAGTTTGTCAGTGGAATCAACATTTACTCTCTGCACCCTCTATCACCCAGCCCTACAACTGATGCTCTGGTGCTGGATTAAAACCTCCACTGAAAGGTATATTTCCACTTCACGCCACCAGCACTGGGGGTTTATTTGCTTGTAAAATTACTTCACTTGTATTCACCTAACCCTGAGAACTAAATCTGACAGCGTATCCAAACAAAAATAAGTAATAAATGGCCACATTGATGAGAACCAAAGGTTGATGTTCATCCCAGAAGACCTGAATGAACACTGAGCCAAACTTGGCCTTTGAAATAAAGTACCTTCCCACAGAGCTGGCCACAGCACAGACGGCCATCTGCTGACATTGATGTCTTCATCCCTGGAGCCTGAGCCCAAGGAGAGCCTCACAAGTAGTCAGGTTGTTAAGGTAGGCACTCAG